GTGGTGATAAAGGACATCCTTGTCTTGTGCCTGATTTTAAAGTAAAGGCTCTCAATTTTTGGCCATTTAGTATGATGCTGGCTGTTGGTTTGTCATAAATGGCCTTTATTATATTGAGGTAAAGACCATCTATTCCAATTTTCTGTAGAGTTTTTATCATGAATAAATGTTGGACCTTATCGAAGGCTTTTTCTGCATCTATAGAAATGATCATGTGATTCTTATTTTTGGCTTTATTGATATGGTGGATTACATTTATTGATTTGCGTATGTTGAACCATCCTTGCATTCCTGGGATGAATCCCACTTGGTCATGGTGTATAATCTTCTTGATGATTTGCTGGATCCTATTTACCAATATTTTATTGAGGATTTTTGCATCTGTGTTCATTAGGGAGATCAGTCTATAGTTCTCTTTTTTAGTTGGGTCTTTCTCAGGTTTTGGTACTAGAGTGATATTTGCTTCCAGGAATGACTTAGGAAGGATTGCTTCCCTTTCAATTTCATTGAATAGTTTGAGGAGTGTCGGCATTAGGTCTTCTTTGTATTTCTTGTAGAATTCTGCAGTGAATCCATCTGGGCCTGGGCTCTTCTTGGTGGGTAAGGACTTAATTACATTTTCAATTTCAGTAACCGAGATTGGGTTATTCAACCATTTTACATCCTCTTGATCTAGCTTTGGCACTTCATATGCTTCTAAGAATCTGTCTATTTCTTCTGTGTTATCAAACTTTTGAGAGTAGAGGTTTTTGAAATAGGTGTTGATGATCTTCTGTATTTCTATTGGGTCTGTAGTGACTTCTCCTTTTTCATTTCTTATTGCATGAATTTGAGCTTTTTCTTCCCTTTTTTTAATAAGGTTGGCTAGGGGCTTATCGATTTTATTTATTCTTTCAAAGAACCAACTCTTTGATTTGTTGATCCTTTGGATTGTTTTCTTAGTCTCTATTGCATTGATTTCTGCTCTTATTTTTATAATTTCCTCTCTTCTTTTGGCTTTGGGCTTGACTTGCTCTTCTTTTTCTAGCTGTTTGAGGTGTAGCATCAAGTTATTTATTTGTATTCGTTCTGTTTTCCTGATGTGGGAACTCAGTGCAATAAATTTTCCTCTCAGGACGGCTTTCATTGCATCCCACAGATTCCGGTAAGTTGTATCTGCATTTTCATTTTCTTTTAGGTATTGTTTGATTTCTTCTTTAATTTCTTCTGTGACCCACTGATTACTCAAGAGTGTGTTATTCAGTTTCCATGTGGTTGTGGGATTTTTGCAGTATCTTTTATCGTTAATTTCTAATTTCAGAGCGCTGTGATCCGATAACATTCAAGGGATGATTTCAGCTCTTTTGCACTTGTTTAAATATGTTCTGTGAGCTAATATATGGTCTATTTTAGAAAATGATCCATGTACTGCTGAGAAGAATGTGTATTCTGATGTTGTTGGGTGGAACATTCTGTGTATGTCTATCAAACCCATTTGTTCACAGGTATGATTCAGTTCTGTTATTTCTTTACTCATTTTCTGTCTGGTCGATCTGTCCCTTGGTGTCAATGGCGTATTAAGGTCTCCTGTTACAATTGTGTTACTGATAATTTGAGTTTTCATTTCTGTTAATAATTGATTTATATAACTGGGCGCTCTGGAGTTTGGTGCGTATATATTTAAGATAGTTATCTCTTCCTCTTGGAGTTTTCCCCTTACGAGTATGTAGTGACCTTCTTTATCCTTTATGGTCATTGTTGGTTTAAAGTTCACGTTGTCTGCAAACAGAATGGCTACTCCTGCCTTTTTTTGGATTCCTGCTGCATGAAGAATTGTTTTCCATCCTTTGACTTTCAGTCTGTGAGTATCCTTCTGGGTTAGATGGGTTTCCTGTAAACAGCATATGGTTGGATTTTGTTTCTTGATCCATTCTGCTAGTTTGTTTCTTTTGGTTGGTGCATTGAGACCATTTACATTAATGGTTATTACTGTTAAATGTTGGTTAATTGTAGGAATCTTATCTCTCTGCTGTTGCATCTTTATCTTTCTGTTCTGTTTAATTATTTGCTTTGCTTAGTGGTTTTTTCCTTTGTGTATCTAAACTGTCTTTCAATATTTTTTGCAGGGTTGGTTTGGTGTTCATGAAGTTCTTCAGCTGTTCTTTGTCATGGAAGTATCGTATTTCACCATCTATTTTAAATGATAGTTTTGCAGGATATATCAGTCTAGGTTGGAAATCATTTTGCTTTAGGATCTGGAATACTTCACTCCATGCTCTTCTTGACTTTATTGTTTGTGATGAGAAGTCTGCTGTCATTCTGATAGGTTTTCCTTTATAAGTGATCAGTCTTTTCTCTCTGACAGCTTTTAATAATCTATTCTTGTGTTGGATTTCTGGGATGGTGATTATTATATGTCTGGGTGTAGTTTTATTTTGGTTATGACTATTTGGAGTTCTATATGCTTCACTGATCCTGATGTCAGTTTCTGATCTCATGCTTGGGAAGTTTTCAGCTATTGCTTCTCTAAATATCCTCTTGATATCCTTTATGTTGTCTCCTTCTTTTTCATTAATCCCTATCATTCTTATATTATTCTTCTTTGCATCATCTTGCAGTTGTTGAATTGTTGTTTCCTGATTCCTTGTTATTTTTAAAAGATCTTTCCTTTCCTGTTCACTAGCTGCAATCCTGTCTTCAAGGTCTGAAATTCTATCTTCACTTTCATTAAGGCGGTTTTTACAACTTTCAGTGGAGTTTTTTTTATTTCCTGTATATCTCTGTGCATCTGCATTATGTATTCTGTTTGTTTCTTATATTGCTCATCTAGGGATTCTATCTTTTTGTTTAGTTCCTCCAATTTTTTATCTGTGTTTTCTTTAGATATATTTAGAATCTCTTTCATTTCTTTTATCATTTCTTCTTTTATCTGGGATATTATTTCGGGTTTGAATTTCTTTAAAGCTTCCTGGAGTTGCTTGTCAACTTCAGTAGCTATTGTGTCTGATATATGAGGAGGATGGGATATATTTTCTTCTAAATACATTCCTCCTAGGGTTTCCTGAGATGGGCTGGAAGTTTGAGGTTGTAATTTGGTCTTTCGTTTTGTCATTTTCCTATATTTCTGTGTTTCAAGTGTTATTTGATAGCCTCCTCAGGATCTGTTGAAAATCCCCTTCTATGTTTGCAGCTACTGAGACTCTGGCACCACTCTACCCCAGGCCATTGGGCCTGCAGAACCAGTGGCCCTCCTCTGCTTGTTCAGAACTCCGCAGTTCCAGACAAGCTGGGCCTCAGGGACACTGTGCGCCCACCTGCCCCTTGGTAGATCCACAGCTCTTTTTTTTTTTTTTTTTTTTTTTTTTTTTTGTCTTTTTCCTTTTTATCGGTACCGGGGATCGAACTCACGACTGCCTGCTTGCAAAGCAGGCGCTTATGCCGCTGAGCTAAACCCCCAGCCCCGATCCACAGCTCTTGAATCGCAGCCGGGTTAGGGTACTCACCACAGGCCGCAGTGCCTCAGGAGCCTGTGATCCCTCCCTGATTGCAGAGATATCCACAGTCCTCCAGACAAAGGAAGGGCCTTCTGCGGGCACTCCGGATCCACCCAGCTCCTCCTCTGCACGCAGATGGCTAGGCGCGGCTGGGCTGGGGGGGGGGGTAGTGTAGGCCCGCCCACCCGGTGAGCTCCGCAGACCTCCAGGTGTAGCCAGGATGGGGAGGCAGCTGTAGTGGCCTCTAACCCACTGCTCCACTTCACTGCACCCAGAAGCCTGGGGGGTCCGGAACAGTCTGAGATTTGGGCAGACTGTGCTGGCCACTCACCACAGGCTGAGGTGCCTCAGGAACCTGGGATCCCTCCCTGCTTGCAGAAATATTCACTCCTCCAGACAAAGGAAGGGGCTTCTGCAGGCACTCCGGATCCGCCCAGCTCCTCCTCTGCACGCCGATGGCTAGGCGCGGCTGGGCACAGGCCGAGGTGCCTCAGGAACCTGGGATCCCTCCCTGCTTGCAGAAATATTCATTCCTCCAGACAAAGGAAGGGGCTTCTGCAGGCACTCCAGCTCCGCCCAGCTCCTCCTCTGCACGCCGATGGCTAGGCGTGGCTGGGCACAGGCCGAGGTGCCTCAGGAACCTGGGATCCCTCCCTGCTTGCAGAAATATTCACTCCTCCAGACCTGATGGCATTATTTTGCACTGAATGCTTTTTTCCATTGTTGGAATGCATAGGGTTACTTCCTTACATGAACTCTTTCATATCATTATAATCACTGGTGGTGGACAAATTTGCTGCATTGCTTACATGCATACAGATTCTCCCCCTTGTGGGTTCTTTTGTGTGTTCATCAGGTACAAAACTAACTGAATGTTTTCCCAAGTTGCTTACCTACATAGGGTTTCTTCCCATTGTGAAATCTTTGATGCGTTTACAAGCTATGGGCTTGGCTGATAGATTTCCCACACAGCTTACATACTTAAGCTTTTTCTCTGTGTTGGATTCTAGGTCTCAAAAATGTGGATTATCAGCAGAGCTTTTAAATTATGACTTATATAAGTTTTCTCCCAAGTGTGAATTATTTTATGGACAAGATTACAATATTGAATTAATGATTTTCCACATTATGCACCTATACAGGCTTTCTCCCTACTGAGAGTTCTATCATATTTTTTATAACCTGTTTGTGTACTGAACATGTTTCTAAATGTCTTGCATGGTAAGATTTCTCCCTAATTTAATTTCTTTCTTGTTTCTGACAGTGAATGTGTCTGACTTTGCATTTCTGATGCTATATCTTAACATTAGGATGGCTACATGGATACAGGCCATGAACACAAGCACAATTTTGAATATGAATATATAGACACTTCTTAGTAAACTGATATAAGAGTTACAGATTCTGATGGGAAAAATTGTCATGAGGTAATTAGGTATCATCCATCAAAACAAGACATTGGTGGAGCAAAACATGGAAAAATGATATAGCATACTTAAATTTTCTTTAAAAAGTACAATATTTTAATTAAGACTACAGGCAAATAAAATATTTATGTATAATTTATAAAAAAAGACAAAAATATTTTAGGATAATTCTGTTCAGGTTGTCTTCAAAAATGAATGAACATATATTGACAGAAATTATTTTATAATATTTTGGCATTTCTCCTCTACATGAGTATTTTGAAATTATTTTCAAAATAGTCCCTTACATATGTATGATTTTACTTAACTAGGATTACTTTCACACTTTTGACAATAACCATGTATACTGAATGATTTCCCACATTGCATACATAATCTCGGGACACAGTATGACATCACTCAGAAGGTTAGCAGCTGTCAGCTGAACTTTACCAAATCTTCCTTACATGCAGTTACTCCCCAATGTGAGAGGAATCTTATGTTTGCAAAAGGGAAATACTGCAGCAAATCTTTGCCACACTGCCTACATACATAGATATCTTCCTTGTGTGCAAAATTTCCCTATGGCATTTTTGGGTGCTACATACAATTTACCATTCTTCAAATGCATAGCATTACTACACAGAGGGAGTTCTTAATTTTATTGGCAATCTCAATGGTATGGGGAGTCTTCCTATATTCCTTATGTTCATAGGATTTTTTCCCATTGTGGGATATTTGATGTTATAAAGTGAGAATGTATCAACAAATCCATTTACTCATTTCTCATATAGATAGGGATTTTTATAGAGTGAATTATTTTCTACACAAAAAAGCTACCATTATAGCTAAAATACATCACAAATTGCTTACATCAATGGAAAGGGTTTATTTTCAGCACTTCTGCATGCTGAATATTTTGGCATATTGGTTGTACCATAGATGTTCTATGCAGTGTGAGTTCTTTCAAGAATAATAAGGTGACTGCTTTGACAGAAAGATTTCCCACATTGCTTACATACAAAGGTTTCTCCCCAGTGTGAATTCTATCATGTGCCTTACAAGCAGAGGCTGTCCTGAATGCTTTCCCACATTTGTTGCATGCAAAGTGTTTCTCCCCAGTGTGAGCTCTCATGATTAATAGAGCCACTATTTTGACTGAAAGATTTCCCACATTGCTTACATACAAAGGGTTTCTCCCCAGAGTGAATTCTGTCATGTGCTTTACAAGCAGAGGCCCTACTGAATGCTTTCCCACATTTGTTGCATACATTAGGTTTATCCCCTGTGTGAATTCTTTCATGTGTAATAAGGTTAGACTTTTGACTGAAGGATTTCCCACATTGCTTACATACAAAGGGTTTCTACCCAGTGTGAATTCTATCATGTACTTTACAAGCAGAGGCTGTACTGAATGCTTTCCCACATTTGTTGCATATTTAGGGTTTATCCCCTGTGTGAATTCTTTCATGTTTAATAAAGTCACTATTTTGACTGAAAGAATTCCCACATTGCTTACATACAAAGGGTTTCTCCCCAGTGTGAATTCTATCATGTGCTTTACAAGCAGAGGCTGTCCTGAATTCTTTCCCACATTTGTTACATGCAAAGGGTTTCTCACCAGTGTGAATTCTTTCATGTTTAATAAGGTCACTATGTTGACTGAAAGATTTCCCACATTTGTTGCATGCAAATGGTTTCTCCCCAGTATGAATTCTTTCATGTTTAATAAGGTCATTATTTTGACTCAAAGATTTCCAACATTGCTTACATAAAAAGGGTTTCTCCACAGTGTGAATTCTATCATGTACTTTACAAGCATGTACTTTTATCTTCTATCATGTACTTTTCCCACATTTGTTGAATGCAATGCATCAACAATGTATGAGGAATTTTAAACATCCCCAGTGTGAATGTTTTTATTACTTTGACAGCCACTGAGTTTACTGAATGCTGTCCCACATTGTTTGCATTCATATGGTTGCTCTACAGTGTGAAGTTTCTTATGTTTTTTAAAGAAATTACTGTGAGATAATGCTTTGGCACATTTTTCATTTATATGATGTTTCTCTCTACCATATTTTCTAACAGGTTTTTCAATATTGGATGAAGAAATAGAATTATTCTCATAGTGTTTTTGTACATACAAGTTTCCCAAATTGTGTTTTGTCTTGGGGGTTTGAACACTGTTAGGTGTTGGGTGGGCTTTCACACTTTTGTTACCTACAAAACTTTTCTGCCCAGAGTGAGTTTTTTCACTAAGATCAGAACTCTCCTCATCATATTGCCCGTATTCACTGGGTCTCTCTATAGTCTTCCTCATTTCATGCTTCTGAAAGGACTGGAAGTCACTGCAGCTCTCTACATTTTCATTACATTTATATTGCTGCTCTTCAGTTCTCAAATAATTGCCTTCATCACATCTGTGAAGAAATACAAAAAAAGATATCAATCACAATGGAAAAGGCTCCATATTAGCAATAATTTTTATGATGACAAATATAGTTTGATTCCTGCTAAGTAATTCTGATGATTAACTGACTCACTGCCATGCAGGACTTCTTGCAAAATAGTATTCATTCTAAAAAATCTACTGTTTTTTTTTTTTTTTTTTTTTTTTGGCCAGGGATTGAACTCACAACTGCATGCTTGCAAGGCAGGCACTTATGCCCCTGAGATAAATGTCCTGCTCCATTTAGGCAATTTTAAATTGTTATGTGATTCTAATACTTAATATCATTTTAGGAGACTGGTGCAAATGAATAGCAAACATTAATCGGTTTTTTAGCTCTTCGTGTCTTAATCTCCCCTTTGTCTATTTAGCCTGATCATCTTTCTCCTCTACAGAACATAAGGATTTCTGGTCATATATTATCTCTCTTTACTTTCACTTCTCAAATAAGTTTTTAATTTCTCATTTAAGAAAATCCTGAGTTGTAGCTAGGGATTTAGCTCAGCAGCATAAACACCAGCCTGGCAAGCATGAGACTGTGAATTCATTCCTCTGTACAAAAAAAAGAGAGAGAGAGAGAGAGAGAGAGAGAGAGAGAGAGAGAGAGAGAGAGAGAGAGAGAAAACCTGTGATGTTTCCATTTCTATGTCTGAATTACTTCACTTAAGGTCCAATACTTCTTGTTTCTTGGGAAATGATATCATGGTTCCCTGTATAGCTTTTTTTTTTTTTCAACGTGGAGTTAAACACAGGTCATAGAATGAGCTACATTTGCTGATCTATTATTTGTTTTGTGGAGAGAGATTTTTATTTACCATCAACTTGCCCAAGCTGAACTTCAAGTTATCATCCTGCTGATTCAGCTTCCCCAGCTGCTTGGATTGAAGGAATGCACCAACATGGTGAGCTGACTTCATATTTTCTTTACCTTGGCATCCAGTGATGGGCATCTGGGCTCTTCTCAATGCTTAGCTACTGTGAGTTGATTCTTGTATTAGATATTGTAAATGCCCTTTCATGTGCTTTAACAAACAGCACACTCATGGATCACTAACATTTGATGATTTTAATGTATTTGACAATATACTGAGAGAATCATTACATATAATGACACAGTACAACCCACTCAACAGTCAGGAGGTAGAGACAGGATGATTGCTCTGAGTTTCAGGCCATTATGGGCATCACAGTAAGTTCAATGTCAACCTGAACTACAGTATAAAATCATGGCTCAAAAGATTTAAAAAAGTATATCATTGTGGATGTACATGTGAAACAATATGAAACATGTTGTTTTAATTTTCAGACCACTGAATATTTATTACCATGTTTGTATTTTATGTAACCATCAACAATGTATGAGGAATTTTAAACATGAAGTGTCAATATTCTATAGGATATTTTCAGAGTTCTTATTGTAACAGTAGAATTCATTTTTATTTTGAATTCTGATGCTATGTGAAAATAATTCTAGATCATGAAAGTCTCAGTATTCACATGTATACATAAATGGTATTTTGAAGATGGGTTTTTATCAACTTTCACAATTTGTTCATTTCCTACATATCAGAATACAATATTTATGTTTATTATCATACATTTCTATGATGTTGATCATGAAGGCAATTTATAAAATGATACATTAGATAGTGTTATTTACTATGTAGTATTAGAATTACCTCTCATTCTTATATTTCAATATGTTTCTATGGATTCCCAGATAATACAAAATAAAATCAAGTATATCTCTTGGTATTTTTCTGAGGTTAAGTAATGTATAACATGATCTCATTTCTTCAAGTTCCTTTGTTGTAATATGTATGCTCACACACTGACAATTAAGTAATGTTCACTTTCTCTTATGTGTTTCAGTCACCTTACATTCCTTGAGAAATTTTTTGTCCTCTTCCTTAATTTGCTAATTATTCCATATTCTTCCTGTAATATGGACATAGAAATAAAATACACTTACTATAACTGTACATTAAAACATCACAGATTTGATTTATACTCATAGTATAATCAGAGGAGATATACAAGCAAATGTTATTATTATCAAATATATTAAACTATCAATGCAATAATTGATGCCGTTAGTATAAACAAACATGTCATTCTTACTTGTTGCAGTAATATTCATATATGTTTCCCACATCACTCCTCTGTAGAGCTTCTTTTGGGATGGAGTCAGCAAATCTCACTCTTCTGGGGTGAACTTCAGAGCTACATCCTCAAAGGTCACTGTCTCCTAAATAATGACAACAGTCCTAAAGTTCAGGCACACACAACCTGATATATCTCAGTTCCTGTCATAAATAGTCTAACTGAAATTCATTCTTTCAAGTATTAACTGCATGTCATGGTCATCAAAACCCAAGGACATTCAAATACAGTCACCCAGTAACACTGATGCTAGACTATGACACTCTGCCATAGCAATCACAGAACTGTAGCATGGCTTGTCCTGCAGGGCCACCAATAGTGTAGTTTTTCACTTACTTTAAAGCAGAGCTCAAATAGTTAGCATGCAAAACACCATTCACAAAATATTGGTTATTCATAACACTGAGTTTGTCTTTCTTATCAACACCAATATGGTCTTGAATCTAGATTTATAAATAAATATTTAGTTGAATATGAAAAGAGATTTCTGAATGATTAAAATTTAATGACAGAAAAGTTTTATTTGACCATTCTATAGACAAGGAAATAAGGGAAAATGTAATTATAAATGTATAGCTCAGGGATACTAAATTATCTCCTTGTTCTTATATACTGAAAATTCCACTAGGGTGCAAAGGAAGATAATGTGGGTAAAAAACATATATGAAATGCTTGAAATGGAGTGAAAATTGAGGGATAGCAAAGTAACTGGTCACTAAATACAGAAGGAAGAGTCCAGTCCAGTGGAGTAGTACATGCTTGTACTCTCAGCCCTTGAATTCATGATGTAAGAGGTTTACCAGAAATTTCATGCTTGCCATGCATACAGTGCCCAACTTGGGCTATGTAAAAAGGACTGTTCAGACTACAAAGTGAGGCCATTCATCAAACTCCCATACCAAATGAAAATTAAAATTAATTCACAGTCATTGACAAATCACAGCTTTGCACCCAGGATATATCTCAATGGTACAAGCACCTGTCTGATATTTGCAAGGGCCTGAGTACAATTTCCAGTACCAAAAAGAGAATAAAAGTGCACTTTTGATTAGTTCCAACAACTGTAGATGTAAATTAGAGAAAAAAGCCTACAAACATTGCGTATTTGTGTGCAAGGAAACATTTTGCATAATAAACAGGAAAACATTTGACATTCAACATTCATATCAGTGGACAAATGGATCTCAGGAAAGGAAAACCTTCAATTCACCCACATGGAAGTAGAATATTATGTCACAATTCAGGTGGCATTGTGCTTCTAAACAAGAAAGCACAATATGTTTCATTTACATTCCGAAAGAAACAGGTATGTCCCTAGAAATCTGGCCTGCACACTATCCTTGCCTATGTGTATTGGTAACTATTGAAATGGGAAAGAGAAACATGAATTACTATGCAATTTATATTGGAAAAACACTCAGTTAGTGAAAATCTCTTCTGAAGAAAATCAAGAAGCCATGAAAATTAGAAGTTGAAATCTGTGAAAACTGTAATTAAACAAGAAAACATTTATTGAGAACACAAAAGAAAGATTTTACATAGAGTTAAGATCAATGAGCACAAATCTAAAATTAAACAAAATTTACGTGACTCAAAATTTACGTACAATCAGCAGTTATTTAGAAACAAATATCATTCCTTAATACATGTACCATATAAAGAGCAATCAACTACATAAACAGAAATAGAATTGAAAGAGAAAAAATCAATCATTTACAAGTATATATTTAAGAGTTCAAAACATCTTCACCAGTGACTGACAAGAAGGCAGAGCAATCTTTAAGGTCTCACATAAATTCAACAAGATAACAATTCAAAGCAATATTGAATTCAGCAAGATAACAATTCAAAGCAATAATGAAAAGAAAATCTAAATGACATTTGTGAAAATAACCAAACAATATTGAAGTGTGGAAGAAAAAATAATTAGATTTATTCTTAAATTCCACAAACTCCTTTTCTGTGGAGTTTATGAAAATCTACACACTAGTGAATTCTTTCTAACGTCTACAAAATATTTTGTTCTATGATTCCTTAAAATAAACGTGATTCTTTCCAAGTGAAATTACAGGCTCAGAAACTTTGACCAAGAGAATAAATGAGAATTTGCTTTGGCCTTGATGCACATATCAGCCCTTGTGAATGACAGTGAGACATGATTGAATTGATAAATACCACAAAAATCTCACAATATATTTCTATGTGCAATTTGTATTGTGGTTTCTAAAAACTTAAAGGGAATAAATTAAGAGAGTCATTTCCATAAAAGAACACATTGAACACTTTGGAATATTTCCAAAGAATTGTCATCAATCATGCAATAATACTTTCTGACCTGAAGGTGTTTTTCACATGGTTACCTTCATTTCTTGCTTAAGACCCAGTGGTGAAACGTTCTGAATATACCTGTGACTCTTTCACTGTTCTGAGTAAATCTATACACAAAATCTTTGAGAATAAGATTTTCTTTCGATTATTAAAAAAATAAATTGCAATACAGGCACTAATTGATTTGCATCTGTTTATCTGTCTTGAGATATGAAATGATTGAACAGTTTCCATATTAGATAGTGATAAACAAACTACAGTTACAAATATCAGTGTAACAAATTCAGTGCTAACAATTGTGAAATTTTAAGTTCACTGAAAGGAGAACAGGTCAGCCTATCAAGAGAGGAGACATTATCAGGAGAACAGGTCAGATTAAAAGGGACTGAGAGAACAGGTGTCAGAGCTGATTAATAGATAGACAGCTAGGTAATCCACAAATACTCTCATGATCCAGACAGCAATGTTGATTATGTGCACACTGATATGATAGGTTAAATAGTAAGCTATGCAAAAAGACATACCTTGATGCCATTGATTCAACAAAACATATTGAAGCTACATTACCTTGATTATATTCCACATGTACAATCAGCAGTTATTTGGAAACAAATATCATTCCTTAATACATGTACCATATAAAGAGCAATCAACTACATAAACAGAAATAGAATTGGAAGAGAAAAATCAATCATTTTCAAGTGTATATTTAAGAGTTCAAAACACCTTCATCAGTGACTGACAGCTCAAGAAGGCAGAGCAGTCTTTAAGGTCACACATAAATTCAACAAGATAACAATTCAAAGCAATATATCATATGGATTCTATTGAATCGTTTATCACAGAAAAACATAGCACACTGTCCTCACAGCAAGCCACAAAGTATTCACACATGTAACCCAGGTTCAACACAGCAATACATAATGTAACATAGTCATTGGATTGGAAGCCATGCAAAGCAGGCTCTTACACAATACTGGAATAAAATTATAAATTAAAAGTAGAAAAAATGAATATACTCTTAGAATGAAAGGTCAAATCACAAATTTTAAATAACGTTTCAACAAAAACCTTAAATAATTAAGGGTTTCATGATCCATGTGAATGAATTGTGAAAGATCAGAAAGTATTATTGCATGATTCACAGTGAATTGTGCACATTTAGAATTATTTTAGTTCCTCAAAATTGATACCTGAAAACATATTAAAAACAGTTAATGCAGTTACTGGAAAAGAACATAGACTTCAGTTGTAGAACATTAGAGAACACAGTGCAGAGGGAAGCTCAACGGAGCAGCTGTGAGCTGAGTGCATGGCATCACTCTGCATGGCAGTCTTTGGGAAATCTGAGACTAGGGCCAGCAGAGCACATAACAGGCCCATCCCTGAGCCTCAGGAAGCTAAGTTTCCAGAGAGAACTAGAGAAAATTGTTGCAACATAAAAATGTTAATCATCCCACAGAATACAGGATATTTCATTGCTCTATATTTGTGCAGATTCCAAAGAACAATAGAGAAAAGATTCTTAAAAATATTAGAGGCATTACTTAGTAATTAATGTAACTAAATACATAAATATCTGGGGAAAAATCAGACATTGATGTCAGTGGACACAGACCAGACACAAGATGAAAAAATTAGTAAAGTAAGTTGGAATGCATACAAATATATTCACTTTCAAATAACAGTCTATATGGTGAAACAATTAAAGTTTCAACAAAAATTTAATAGAATTTATAAGATAATGTACCATAGACCATATCTCTGAATTGAAATAGAGATACATGCCATGTAAATATGTATCAGGTATCAACAACTGATTTGGTTTGCAGAGCCATGAACTGCAGCCCACCCGTGCCCACTTGTCTTGGAGCCAACTGAGTGTGGATTGAAACCTCCAAAAAATGGATTGAACTCACAACTTTGTGCTTTCCAGGAAGGCACTTATGCTGCTGAGCTAAATCCCTGGCCAGAAGAAACTTGAATGTACTCACCAAGAAAAATGTTGGACTTCCAGGAGAACATGGTGGATAGAAAGCAGCAGCTTTGGAGGCTCTCTGAGAAACCACACTTAAAATCCAGGAATGGTGCTGGGTGAGAAATCCTAATCAAGGGGAGATATACTTTGCCAACCCAGGAACGAACTAAACTAAGTTCCAACTGGAAACACAATCCCGGTGATATAACAGGAACAGATAAGGTCTCAGCATGGAAGCTGGACCCTGTGCCACTGGAAGCTGTGATTTGAATTTCATGCAGCCACTGCTGTGTCCCAATTGGTGCATCAAGGAGAGAGGCATGAAAGCTCTGAGAGTGGGAAGCAGTGAAAGGAGTTGAGAGCAGGATTTGCCGGGAGCCCTGCATCGATCTGTGGTGAGTGAGAGGAACAGGGACCCTTCCATAGAGTAGGAGGCTTCAGCAAAGGACATACTGGGACTGGGCAGACTAACTGGAACAGGTTGTTGCAGTGAGTTCAGTCACATATTCCCCTCTCAAGCGGGATTGGTGGGGAGTGCCTGGTCTGTATGATGCCGCTGACTAAGACCCGGTAGTCTAGCCCAAAGCAGGTCCCAGTACTGCAAGGTGCACCCTAGCAGTGATGCCTTCAGTAGGTTGACCTGGAGGGGAGGGCCCAGCATAGGCTGCCCAGGTCTCTATCTCCCTAGTGCACTGCACTGGGCAGGAACATCTAGCTGGTGCAATTCAAACACACTTTTTTTTAAATCAGTATTGGGGATCGAATTCATGACCTCCTGATTACAAGGCAGGTGCTTATGCCGCTGAGCTAAATCCCCAGCCCAACTGTAACTCACAAAGAAAGAAACTGGACCTCCTGTATTCACTTGTATAAAAGGAACAAAAAATATGGGAAGAGGGAGCAACAAGAAAGGGTCCTCGGCCCCCAATCTTGAGAAACATGCAATATCAGACACGGCACCAGTAGACATAAAGCGCTATCTCCAGAGCCTTATAGACGAGTTCAGGAATGAAGTTATTAACAACCTGAAGCAAGATATAAGTAAAATAGAGAAATGCTAAACACCACCCAAGAAAAGACAGATGGTAGAATGGAAGAACAGAAAAAAAGGGGAGAATTGTTTGATAGAGAAAATAGAGAAAACATAGAATACGTGAAGCAGGTTCAAAGAGATTACCAGGAAAAAAAAAAAAAAAAAACTCTCGAAAACTGGCATAACAGCTTGAAAGAAACTAAGGATAGATTATCTGAACTGGAGGGCAGATTTGAAATATGGGAGCATGAAATGAAAAACTTCTTAAAAATAACAACAACAACAAAAAAAACAAACAGCAACAATGCAAAGGCTAGAAGATGATAAGAAGATCTGTAACATAAGAATTAAGAACATAAAAGAAGAAGTAGGGAAACAAACAAATGGACTACAAAAGCTAGTCACAGAAATAATCCAAGAGAATTTCCCTAATTTAGCAAATGGTAAAAATACTCAGATGTATGAGGCATACAGGACCCCAGCTACCTACAACCCAAACAGAGCTACACCCAGGCATATAATAATCAAAATTCCAGAAATCTAATATAAGAACAGAATATTAAAAGCCATCAGACACAAGAAACAGATCACTTACAAGATAATACCCATCAGAGTTACAGCAGACTTCTCAGCACAAACCATCAAATCACGAAGAGTGTGCAGAGAAATAAATCAAGCTTTTACAGATAATGACCTCCAGCCAAGATTGAGATAATCTGGACAAATGTCCCTAGAAATTGATGGAAAAATACGGTGCTTCCAGAATAAAGAGTAACTAGGGGAATTTGCAACCACCAATTCAACTTTCCAGAGAATACTGCAGGATATTCTAAAAAAGGAAAATATCAAGATTCCAGAAATAGTGGCCGAGAGGCCACAATGAATGGAGCAGAAAGCGAAATGAAGAAGACAAACTGACAACAAACGACAGAAAAAGAGCTCAACAGAAATGAGGCAGAGAAGATCGGATGGTAGGAAGAGCTATTTTGCAGAAAACAAGACATCATAATAGCTAGTGATGATTTAGTATCATCTTGTTTTGAAGTCCCATCAAACTTATATTCTTCTGTCTCCATCGGTCTTAAAAGTTTGTATCTTACTGGATTTTATTATATATGATAAGATAAGTAAAAACTTTTATATACAAGGAGATTATACAGAAACCATTGTTCCTTTTCTGTTAATTTATTCTAAAGTCCCAGTAATAATGTCATTTTCCTGAATGGTTTTATAGTGTCTTGATATGTTTGGTGCTACAGTATACAAAGTTATACTCAAAGATTTCAAGGAAAGAGACACTATGGTAACTATTTTTATGTCAAGATATCTTGTGGTGAAACACTATTTTGCTTATGGTTATGTTTTGACCTGCACTGTTCTGTTGTTATGCCCTCTCTTATCTCAATCCCCTTTTTAAAAAATTATTTACTTTTTCTTTTATCTGTTTAATTAAGGGACAACTAAATAAAAAATAGCAGTATACATTATAGTAACCTACTTTGGTTTCCTATTAACTTGATTTGAAATCCTGTATTGCCCTCACCATCTTTTGACTGATTTTCCCGTATTCTGCTTTGCTTGATATTACCGATTTTAAAAGCATAGGCAAAACTGTGAAGACAATTAGATTCATTATGATGCCCATTCCTGTTGACTATTATCTTCTTTTAAAGTCCTGTAATGTCTCCAATGCTTTGGTTTTACTCTTTACTGCTTTGTTCAATTTTATTATAACTGGCAATTTTTCTTAAAATAGCAAGGGGCAGTATGGTAACCATTATTGATCACCTTGTATTTTGTTTTTACATTATCTATTATGTCCTTCCTTTTGATTTGATGGACTGTGTTATGATATGTCGCATTTGGTTTTACTCTCTTCAAAAAAAGTAATAAGAACTGTGGGAGTAATAATACCTAAAATGTGTCAAAGAAAAGAAAAGAAAGTGCTCCAAAGGTTATAACTGCATATATGTTTAAATGTATAAGATAGATAACCATATTACTGAGTTTTTTTTGATCATTGAACAAAACTGTTTGCACTCTCACTGTTTGAAAGTCCACTTTATAAGTTTCAATTTTGTAACTTGAACAACTATTTCTAAGATGAGAACATGTAATCTATTAACTAGTGATTTTTTAATGTTTATTTTTTAAATTTCGTATTACTTGTACCCTTTTTCTGTTTTTTCTCCTTAAATAAAAAAAAGAAAAAAAAAACAATTGTTTGAAATTATGAGCATTATACCACATGCAATTCACACCAACATAATTTAAAAAATGTGAACACTATGTATGAAACATATAAAGAGAACAAAGTACATCATTTAGTGTGTCCTTTTCAACAATGTCCAGTCACTATCAAAGAAGTATAATAATTACATGAGCAATGGTGCTTCTTTCTCTGCACACAGAGGAAAAATTCTTATACAAGATCAGGGATATAGCTGAGCAGCACAGTGCTTACCTGGCAATGTGGCATTGTGAGTTTGATTCCCAGTTTAAAACAAATTGCTTGTACATGTGAATGCCCTACTTCAGAGATCAATTTGTGTTTTTAACAGGCAACTCCTTTTCAAGTTGTCCTTTATTGTATTATTTCACCTTCTTTTATTTAAATTCCTAACATAACATCCAACTTTTATCATCATAAGATATAGAACCTAATATATTCAACAGTTTATTCATTTATTGCATGACCCTAGATGTAAGACAGTAGTTTACACATGCGTGGAAAGCTCCTAGTAATTATTTTCATCATAGCCATAGTAATATGTATTTTAAAATTTAGTGATGTTAAACTTTTAAAAAAATTGTCATGTGATTTTTAAACATCCTAGAAGGACTTAGAATTCTGAGGGTGTATTCATTGATTCTGGAATTCAACATCATTACAATGAAACTCAATGTGGAGGACACTATTTGTCTACTTGAGGCCTCATATTAAACTTGCATTTTATATATCATAGTTAGATGTCCCTAGCATTTCCTATGACTCAGTTAAAATATCCAACAGTGTCACTATAATGGATTCAAGACTTATGAAAACTAAACCTAGGTGGAGAGCAGAAAGAAGGCTGCGTGCAGTGTCCCAACCTCAATTCTGGCCCTTTGAGAAGATAAGGATTCAGCATGTAAATTTTCTGTAATAGACCTTTCCATCTCAAGGGATGAATGCTAATCTCTTGTGGCTTACTAATTTTTCCAAAGTAAATACTCACCTTTGCTTGCCTGATGCCTAGAACTCTGTCACATTCTCAGTGTTTGAAGACATTGAGGTTATTAGGAAAGACATGTATGGGTGTGGCTTCATGTTGCTAGGAAACATGACCCATGAGATTACATCTGGTGCATGGACTCTGACTCTCAGGCTCTCTCTCTCTCTCCTGAAGAATCTCCACTCAAAGGTTGAAGATTTGATTCTGAGAACATGAGCAACCTGAAGCCAATATCATAAGGCAATGGCAAGTACCTATGCCCATGCACAAAAAACTAAGAGACTTGTTTCCCCCTTATTATTCCAACCAGGTCATATTGGTTGTTGTCAAGCACATGCAAAGTGAGTCATTTGCCATGTGCTATAGATCAGTAATTCACAAAGAAGTGCAGAGCATTAAAAATGGACTGGGACATTCATACTATCATGAGACACACTACAATAATCATTACAAAATATTGATCTTTATTTTGATAAGAATTCCCTTCACAGATATTCTTCATACTAGTAATTATTTTCTGATCCTCTTAAATCTTTGCAGGAGATAAGAAACATTTTACCAGTAAAGCCCTATAACCACTAGAATCCCTTCCTCAGAAAGAAAAGATTCCCAAATTATCTTTACATTAGACACAATCATTCCAATATTCTGCAGTCTGTCCTACTCAAGAGTACTATGTCACCCTCATGTATTTAAAGCAGTAATTCATATCATGAAAAATCAAATATGCGCTAATCTTATTTTATGTGGAATAATTAATCACAAAATACACAATGTGCTTTGCCTATTTTTCCTGTGCATTTTCAACTCCCCCATTCTACTTGAGTGAAGGCCCCAGGAGCTGAATCTAGTGATTTTCATGCTCTAGTCACCTTATTGAACTATTTCTATATGCTCACACAAATATAGTTATGTAGTTTGTACTCTAATAAAGTCCTAGATACCTTAGCAACTCCTCTCCTTTAAAGAGGTGAAACTCCTGAAAATACAAATCCTTCTGATGATAAATCACACCACTCAGTTGAAATTATAAACCTTAAGCTGTGTTACAGAGATGACATTAAAAGGTATATTAGAGAAACACTTGTAGTGTCTAATTATAAGCTTAATGCTAACCTCTCAGCTCAGTTTCCACTAATTTAAAATTTCCATTTTATCCTCTTGTTTGGAGGATATAGGTCAAGCAGTATGACCATATGGGGCCAAATCAATACAACAATAATAAAAAATCCATGGAAACATAGACACAAAATACCCAGAGTAGTGTTCACATTTCCAAACAGGATTGCACTGCTCTCCTGATAGAGCTGCTCAAGAGAAACAGGTGAATACAGCTATCTAAAATGGAAACAACTGGGTAAGTGAGGCTCCTGTACTACAGGAGACAATTTGAAGACTGGAAGGAATAACACAAAAGAGATATTTGAGTATCATAAGGAAAATGACTTGATTAAACTAAAACTAAGGGCCAACAAAATGAATTGAATATGCACAAAAAACAAACCTGTTATTGCAAGCACTATAATTAAGCATTAGATTTTTTTCAAGCTGCTGAATACAAATGCTGTATTTGATCTGTATTTCAGATATAACAGAAAGAGAAATTCATAATACAACACTAAATATCACATGTACCTCACTGAATGCAGCACACTGTGAATCACTGTTTGTTCACCCATGGTGTCCTTTTTCAAAAACAAGAGACTGGTCTCTGTATCCTCCAACATGAGCATATAAACTTCACATTGAGCCATGTATCACTAGTACAAACTATGTGTCAACTTAAAAATTCTATATAAGTTTATACTCAAACATTTTCTCTTCATTATCCAAGGGCCCAATGGACTTTAGAAAAGATAATTTGAGATGGACATAAACTTTCCATATGCATCTAATATTGAAAAAGTTATTCAGGGTGGCCTTGATTTTTAGCACTCCTAACTTTCCCAGGAGGCTGGCATTAAATTTGTGTATCACCAAGACTCAGTGTTGTTTATGTTCCCCCAACAATGAATTCTTGGTGAAATTGGGTGACATGAAAATAAAACACTGATGCAGGCATGGCAGTGCATTCCTGAGTCCCTAGCATTACAATGGATGATGCATGAGGCTGTGCGCATTAAGGACTGTGTGAACTGAAGAAGGAGGCCCAATTCCCTCCAGCAAAGCAGAGGCACAACCATCACCATCAAAGAAGAATATTTCTGTCATCCCCTCACTGGCAGTTGAGCTAGTTAGAAACATTACATCCATCAGAAATGGCTAGGCTCTGGAAGGGCCTCCACAGAGGACCAAATATCTGGTGGCTTTGGAAGAGACACACACCACATGCTGTGGACCAGATCTCAAGATAGATGACAAAGAAATACAACCACACCCTTAAGGATAATCCTTAGGGATTAGGTATGGATCACCTTGAGAAGATAGGAGTTACCATTCTAACCAGCTACAGAAAAAGTCACTGATCCATAAAGAATGCTAGCTTGCTATGTGACTCAATTCCCCATTTGTCTCTGATTTAGTCAATTTTTCCTGAGGAAGTAAACTGAATGTTTGACCATAGCTCTTGCCCACCTCTTGCTTGCTTGTCTTGTGAGTTATTGATTTGTCTTTAGACTTGCCTCATCTCATTGTTTTGCATTATAAAAATTCCTAGAAAATGAGAGTCTTTGGCAATCCATATGGGACCCCTTCTGTCTCTCTCACAGGAGCATTCTTTCACTCAATAAATAGTTCTTCTCTTAATCTTGGTTGTACCTAAAATTCATTCATAAGTTTAAAACAACATGAATTTCTGCTGCACATATAGAGGGTAGACAATTTCATTCCCCTATATCAAACTCAGCAGTCAAAGTGCTGGCAAAGACTCAACTCTTCTTGCAACCATGTGCAAAGAAGTAAGACCTCATCTCTAAATGCCAAAAGGTTTTTATTAACTAAATCTTTTTTCAAAATTTGGAGGATGTTAATAAGGACCAGATTTCTAAGGTCAGTCACTGGACAATAAGAAACAACAAATGTATCTTGAAATCTTTGGTGTCCAAAAGAAACTCCTTCCCATGTTATTTTAGATGTGATGTCCAACATATTTCCAAACCTTCAACACTGGGGTCCTAACTACCTATCTTACCTCAGAGATGATTAGGAGAGCTGATCAATAGACATAGAAAAAGATTTTATCCATGACTAAGTTTCCCTCCTTTCTATAGGCCTGTGAGCTTTTTCCTACTCTCAGATCTACCAAGCAGACAATCCTTCAGTGCTGTCACAATAGGTCAAACTCACCTCAGAAGTGCTTTACTGAGCTGGCTGCTGATTGGGCCTTCCTCCACATGCCCCTGCTCTCCCATTTCCTTTCCATCATATTGGCACATGTTATTAAAACTTTTGTAATTATTCTTTAATACTCATGCAGATCCTGACCATGTGAAGATACCTCTGCTTAAGTAAAACAGTCCATCTCATCATTTAAATTTCTTTTTGAGACAAGGACTCATGATGTAACTCGGGATGCCTTGTCCTGGAACTCACTTCATGTACCATGCTTGTCTTAAACTTGCAAGGATCCTCCTGTATCAGCCTCTTGAGTGCTGGATTTAAGTGCATGTGCACCCACACCCTACTCAGTGCTTCAAATTTCAGGTCAAACTAAAGCACAACCCAAATGTAACAAATGTTTGCAGTTTTGAAACCTACTTCCATTTCCACTTTCATATTTATCAGATCTCTACATCCCTGTAGACACCAATTTGCTGTTTTTCTCAGTGTGGGATTAGCAGGCAGCACCTACAGGAAGTTGTTCTCAGCAAGAAATTTCCACTCAGGAGCTAGTGCATCACCATTCCCCAAATACCTCACAACATTCTAAACTTTAAGAAAACACTTGCTTCAGTAGTTCAATTGTAAAAAAGTTATTTATCTACTTAGCTTATAAATAAGGCACTTGCTAAGGAAATGGCCTGAGGTAAAGTTGCAAAAGTAGTGGCTGGGATAAGAATTAAAATCAGAATGGGCCATGACCTAGGACTTTGAGCTTCACAATAAATTGCAGATTCTAGTCTACCAGAGTGGCTTGCAGGTGCTAATTACTAAACTCCTGAGGTAAGAGAAATGTAAAAACAAACATCCAGTTTATCTCTAAAACCTGTTTCCTGTAGACCCCACAGGCTGAAGAAAAGAGTTGGAGAACCTCAGCTCAAAGTATTTCTTTTTCTGGGTGCAGTGACTCAGGGTTGTAAACTCCTCACCCTGGAGACTGATGGAGGAGGATGGCCTGGAGCTCAAGGGCAGGCCAGACTACAGAGATACACTCTGTATCCAAACAATAAATAATAAAACATAAAAGAAAAAAAAGGAAACAAAGACAGAGATATATTTTAAATCCATAGAGCCAGGTGTATCCTCAAGGCTGTCTACCCACATAGGAAACATTCCCGAAGTCAAGGAGCTTTCTCATTTTTATTTTGGTTTCAGAACTCATAACACACAGTGTCATGAGATTATGAGTTCTGTTCGTGCCATAACATCACTGCGAGTAGAAGTCTCACATAAAGAATTCAAATGATAGTGTTTTCTCATTTTGAGGACAGACTTCAGGTTTGCCTCCAAAGCACTGCACTCCTTAAACACAGCTGTGCCTGAGGCTGTGCAAAAGACACTCTGTGTGTACAGGGGTTCTGCCCAATACCATCCAGACCTGCCAAAATTCCATCCCATTCCCAGCTCCAGTAACATCAAGTTACCACTGCTATGCTTGAGGATATCCAAGGATCCTTTCCAGTCCTCAGTAAGAAGAGGTCACAGAAACTTGATGTGAGCTCAGTTCCAGGCACTCAGCACTGAACTCTCAGTGAGCACTTCTATAAGAGGGCTGGGATGAGCCCTCCTCCTTTCGCCCAGCTTTATGAATGATTGGCTTCTGGGCCCATCTCTCTTCTATTATGTCACCCTCACCTGCCAGGATTCATAGTTTACTCTTGGCTTTTTATGGCTGTCCTTGGTTTCCTTAAAGGTTTAGTGCCCTCTCCTGAATCTGGGTCCCAAATGTAAACAGGTGAATGTCTTGTGGAAGAACCAATCCCTTGTGAACAAAAAAAAACTTATTTGTAAAGCTTAGGCTGGGACAACTTGTCATAGGTAGGGGCTGCTGTCAGGAATAAGGCCATAAGCTTTATTGCCCAGATGTTTCCAGGCTCTCTCTCAGTCTGCTCATTTGCATTAAACTAATTTTTAGATGTCTACCAAGAGAAGTCCATTACAGCGTGAATGAAGAAACTGCACATTAACAGTAAGGGACTTCTGAGAAAAGGTAAAGATAAAGGAAAATCAAACAGTCGAACTGCTTCAGAAAAGCTTTACACTGTATCCAGTGCCATAAATCATACCTAAGTTTTGAAGATAATCCTAGCCAAGCATAAGATTCACTATTACTGCTGAAAGAGAGTACCACACTTGATCCACTAGATCACTTCCTGGAATTGAGTGTGGGATAAAAAAAGCACTTTTGATTGTGTTATGGATTAAGAACTGGTGGTCAACTTAATGCCAGATGGATTACATCAACATGGCATTGAGTGAAGATGCTCCACCTGAGGAAAGTTGCTAGGATAAATAAGTGGAGAAGAAGCGGTGCTAAGGCATTAGGGCATTACTGCAATGAGGTATAATGGGTTCTCCTATGAGTTGCTGTTTGAACTGTTGGTTCTCCTGGAGAAGCTTTGGTCCTCACACCAAGCATTGCTTCCTGGCTCCAGAGGGGAAGACATGTGCTGCTTGGTCTCCAGGATTAAATCATCATGCTCCTTCCTAGCATGTACCCAACTGTGCTTGTTTGGAGGAGCTCAGGGCTTCTGTGTCACTGGGATGGCTGTGGTGCCTTCAAGGACAGCCCTGGTCTTTGTTGTGAGTGTGACTTCTTGGCTACAGTGCAGAACACTCATCCCACCAGCACAGCTCCTTCATTCTGCTGGCATGGACTTTCTGGCTTCCACCACTGACCCTTGGGTTTTCCCGGCATGGATCCATAAAAGAGACTGGGGTGAGTCCTTCTTGTGGGCTCTGGACCTCCAGTTGGACTCCTGGGAAGCATTGTCCTGAGTTCTGTGTTTTTATCTGGATTCATGTAGGACATTGCTGTGGGATTTAGGCCCTTGACTAAATATTCTACGCCTTTGGTGTTGTGGATATATTTCCTCCTTTTTCCTGTGTTAACTCCTCATGACCATTATAAATATAATATTATAAACTCCATGTCCTGATTCTAATTGTTTTCAATTTACAACCCCTAACTACAACAGACTGTAAGTGAAAACATTTTTGGCAAGTATGTATATATTTTACTCTAGAATCATTATATTTTTCATTAACCTGTTGCATAATTGTTGACTTGACTTCATGTGCAAGATTGCTTTTAGTCAATCTATATACTTTAGATCTAAAATATAGAAAGTATAAAAGAAAACCTAATGAAGCTGAAGTAGGAATTTGCAGGTAGGAAATAGTACCTGAGTTGGGATCATAGAGCCTGGCACAAGTTCCAGGGAAAGGTTTTTTTTGTCTCTTTAATCAATGCTGCCAGGAACATAGGCCCTCAGTTATGCAGCCACTACCTTTTCACAGGTAGCAGTCTGACTGTCATTTCTCTTCCTTCTTCCAAACTAAGTGTTTTTATTTTCCATTTCAATCTTGCTGTCTTTAAGCCCTTATTTTTATGACTGTCACCGTCCCTTATTTACTATAGTGCAGTAGTAGGGTGTGCACACCATCCTGTGGCTAGGTAAGATAGAAAACCATTTCTCTTTTCCATGGATTCCACTTATTTATTGAACAGTAAAAAATTATTTTCTTTTCTTGTTTACTTTTTAGTAAAAAAAGGAAAATATCTCTCCTAAGTTTCTGTTTTTGTCCACAACTACATTCCTTGTTATTGTGTTTCCCTGAGCTCAGTTTGTACCAAATTAACAGGTCCAATAACTTTCTCCATAATGATTACTGGTTGGCTGTTGATAATAGCCTTTCTATCCACCTAATAACAATGCCTCTTGAATAACAGACTTTTCATAAGTGTGCTGATGCAGTTTTATTTACCAATCATGTATGTAACTAGATCTATTGTAATGGGTTTACCTGACATCAATTGCATAAAATTCTGTTTCTAACCATCAAGCTTCTGATGTATTTGAGGCCCTAATTCACTCCTTAGAAAAAACTGGAAACCTTACACTATCAAGTTCCATATGAAATTCCTGCAGATGTCTGTGACAGCCTTCACAGGGCACAGGTACTTTATTGGTCTTAATATTAAATAAATGTTATTCATGAATTTTGGATTCCTGAGTGTCTTTGTGCTTATAAGAAGAGATGGTAACTGAATTTTTACCATTCTGCATTTGTGTTATGAACTTTCTATCACTGTGATAAAGTGCCTGAAAAATCCAGGCATTAGAAATGGAAATTTCCTCTAGGTGTATTTTATCTCATACATTCTGAAGATCAGCCCATGGTGCAAATGTGAGATAGAGCACAGGAGCTCACCTCATGTTGACCAACATGCAGAGTAAGAGATGATATAGCTACATCAAAGTAGGCAGGGTCCAAGGACACTATGTGCGTGTGTGTGTGTGTGTGTGTGTGTGTGTGTGTGTGTGTGTGTCTATGTTTCTGTTTCTCTCTGTGTCTGTGTCTCTGTCTATGTGTCTGTGAAAACACAGGGATTCAACAACCCCAATGGGAGCCCCTGTTCTTCTCTACACAGCTATGACCTGTGTCACTGTGCAGCTCAGCCCCTCAGTGCCCTAAAGCTCAGTTTTCTGTCTCCACATGGTTGTTGTATCTTAGTGAACTCAAATCTCAATCCCTGTGTCTCACGCAGTGATGCTCAGCAGCATCCTCATGATCACAAAGGCCAGTTGCTGCAAAACAGGTTCTTGGAGTGGTCTTTGGAGTTGAATGCATTATACTGAATTTAAGCCTGTAGTGTGCATAACATCTAGCATCAGTGTGAACAAATCATTCCAACCCTACAAATTGCTAAGGAGTAACAAGTGGGATACAACATACAACTGACATTGTTATATAAAAATTTAAAACAAAATTATTGACTAGAAACACTGTACTGCTTCCTTCCATCTAAGTTGAGCATTCAAAGATGGGATACTTGACATGTCCTACATCCAGCTCAGACACCACTATCTCCAGCTCCATCCTGATCCTGATATATCCTTGCTCTGTCACTAACCACTCATATTCCCCAGGCAAACACCGGATTGGCATTTTAGGATTTAGTGAAGGCCCTTAGTCCACTGGCAGTGTCTGCTTGAGAAGGAAATGGCCCCTGCAGGAGGGTTACACCGACCTTTGCTTACACCTCCCTGTGTCCATTTTCCCTGGACAGGTGTTTCTTATCTGGGACACAAGGATGACTGAATAAAAGGTACTTTTACAGGTCCCTAATGCTTCTTTGGCTCTGAGCCATCCTATTTCACATCCAGTATTCCCAAGGCCTTCCTTCATGGTACTGCTGTCACTTCAATGTGGCAATGCAAAATAAGGATGTAAAATTGTGAAGACCTTTAAATTCCAACCCAGATTTCCTACCCTCTGCACTGGGGTCCTGAAGATGTATCATCCATCTATGCAGAAAATAACTCCTCTGGCCCAGATAACTGCTGGTGTTGTCAAAGGAAAACAAGGACATCTGTGGATGAAGTAGTGCCTTATATCTGCAGATTGTCCTTCTCAGGGACCCCTATAGAAGATAGATAACCAAAGAATTGCAGTCTTTACAAGCTTTTACTTTTAAATCATGCATGGATCCAAATCCTTGAGGAACAGGTCCCTTTTTGGGAAAGTTTCCCTTTACTGAAGTGTAAGGCAGGTCCCCTGTTAAATTCCCTTCTGCTCTGTGTACCACAGACAGGGACCCGTATTGATCTTATGCATGCACTAGTGTTTCTCCTACACATGGAAAAAGGTCACTGAGTATCAACACCTTTGTCCACTGACCCTGGTGGATTAGTTTCAGGGTCACCAATTGGAGGCGACAGTTGCGTGATGAGAGAATTCATCTCCATCTATGAGACTTATATTCTACAGGACACATTCTAGCCAGGATGGACACAATGCTAGTGTGGTGGGTCCAGATACTAAGCTTTTCCATTGTTGACCTGAGAAACCAGGATAGACATGAACACAAACATCCATGAGTATGTCAGGTGTGTGGCTACTTAGTTGAAGGAAAATGTCTGTCCAGTGTGTCCTTCTGGGTCTATGACTTCAGCTGCATCTCATGGCACACCTAGATGTCCCAAATGTGCATGTGAGATAGCCATTGCAGTGATCATGAAGGGGAGAGGGAAAAATGCTTTCAGCATGGTATGGAGGTTGTGGAAGCAGATGCTGTTCAAGGTTGCCCTCTCTTCTCCCCTGTCTCCTCTGCCACTTGCAGCTTCACTAAATTCTCTCAGGTGAACCTGGGTCCTGGAGCTCCCTCAGCTCCAGTCCTATCTCATCACACAGTGTGCCTGATGCTGTGGGATTCTGTGATCCCTAGGATTTCCTATCATGTGACACCCACAATAAAAGTCTAGGGATTTGGATCACTATCCCCTGACAACTGTTCCTTTCTGAGACTGCCCATTTGCTTTCATTTATTTCATCTGTGAATTATTTTAATTGTTCCAGATCATATTTGAACTCTGAGCTCTGTACATGAAATATGTTATCTCTATATAGGATCCATTTCTGAAAATGTCCTTCGTGTTGCCTTCCATCTGCACCAAGTTCTGTGTCCATTTCTCAATGATCAATACTCTTTTCCCTGTATCAGGGACCTGAATGATTATTATTAATATTTTTCTTGAGATTCTGAGAGCTTCTGGAGGTAACATGTGGACTCTGTGGCACCTAGTATGTGATGTTAACTTCTCATGGTCATCTCCTGTCCTCCAGTCATCCAGCATCTTGATATCAGTGCTCCCTCCACTGTGGGCCTGAGGCACTTGCTATACCAGGAAGCACTGCTTCCCTGGGATCTGGATATTCTGTCTCTCTATGATAATTTGTGTTCATTCAGTCTGCAAATGTATTTCTTTCATTGGTGAATCAAAAGAGAATGATGTTTAATTTATCCAGATTTTTGTAGATTTGAGTATGTGATAATAATTTTCTATTTCTTTACAAGTTGGAGAAAAAGCTATGTACGACTTCAGCAGCCAAATTTGAACTCAGTGGAATTAGGGTTATAGGATCAATAATTGAAAATGACATTTGCACATCCATGACTGAAAATGCAATAACAGAGAAAGAAAGAGAAGGAAATACATGAAATGTTTTAGACATTTCAGGGATGTATTGTTAACTGGAATTAAGAAGATACATCAGAGAGAATCTGACTAAATCTCAGGAGATGATGCATTCTGGAAGATGTCCTTGTTTTGACCTGGAAACAAAAGATGCACGTGGGACATCACATCAGGAATAGGAAATCTCAGCCCTTAAAACAAGGACACATCAATGATGATGCTGGTCCAACTCAAGTGCAAGGCAAGCAGAGGAGGTGGAGGTGCATCTGACTTCCCAGGATAAGTGTGACCATGGCTACATTGTATTTTGCTGAATTAATGATTCCCTAAGTTCTAAAGTTTAAATGGAAAGAACAGGCCAAAGTTCCACTCAATGCACTCTCATAGGAAGAGAACATGAAAGCCCTTGGATTCTGCCCTGAGTCCAGCCAGGCTGCCTTTTTTTCTTCTTCCCTGGGGTCTCTGTGTGTGGCTGGGGCTAAAGTGTGTGATTAGGACTTCTGAGGGGGCCAAGGAGAAGAGAGAACTTTGAGTTCTCAGAACTTAGAAATAAGAACTTGATGCACTTAATTTACTAAAGTGAAGCATTTATTCCTCAATGATAAAAGTGATTGTTATCCAGAAAAAATTAATACATTCATTTTAGATGATGATTAATTGCCATATTAAGAAAGCAATGGTATATATGAATCTAGAGTGAAGCTGCTAGGTTGGTGAGGAGAAATTTGTTTTTCAGCACAATTAAAGATACACCCATAGGAAACAAGAGTAGCAAAATATGAGCAGTGATTCCTGTCAATACTTACATGGCAGACTTGGAGGGATGTAGAGACACAGAGCTGGAAATGCTTGGGTAGCAAGTATCATGTCACACATCATAAGGACATCCTTAACAACACAGCATATGCACCTGAAACTCTTTTGTTGTTATTGTTGTTGTTATTGTTGATCAGGAGAACCTCTTGCCAGTTAAAAGCACCCCAGGTTTATGTCTGAATTTACACTGAGGTCTTCTCAGTGTGTTTTGCTCAGTAAAATGTGATGGTGTCCTTGGAAGTCATGGAGTTCAGTTGCATGTAAAAGTGGTTCCTATTTGTGTCACCAGTGAGGGAGATGCAGACTTGGAAAGCCAGGTGGTAGATTGTGCTCCCTAACAAGTATCCCATCCATTGTAGAGCTTTCCCAGGAGGCTGGTGGCTCCAACTCCAGTAGTTACTGCAGAAAGAGCTCCTCATGGCAGTGCAGGTGAAGGACTGGAGCTCATCTCATTCAGTAGGCTCGATTCTGACTCACAAAGTGTCAGATCAGACAGCACACATGAGGACAATAGGAGTCATAAAGACTTGCCCAATCCAACAGCCAGACCCCTTAAACATCTAGAGACCTCAGGACTAACCCTAAGGTTCATGTTGTTTGCATGTTGCCTGCAGGATGAGGACACTCACAATAGCTTAGCTGCTGACAGAAATTTATTCTGCTAGCCCCTGACCTAATTTGCACTTATGTGTTGAAAGGTAACATATGGGATGCTGATCCAAGGTGACTATCAATGTGTCCAAGATTGGGCATTACTGTGTATGGGAGCTGCCCAGCCTAGCACTGACCATGTGACATTTATCCATGCCTAAGCTGTCCTCTGTTCTGTGGCTTTCATGTGTGGTTGATGTAGTTGTTAGGCATGATCCAATGTCAAAAGAGGTAGAATGCTCTTCACACTGCGGAATCTAGCAGGCTACTTTAGTGATCTCAACACGAGTGGGCTGGGGGCCTATTGTTTCTAAATTATCAATGAAGACCCAGCTTTGAGTTCAGTTTAAATAATTTTCAAGCAGGAATTCAAGGTAGATTAAGCTATTACATGATTGGTCCCCTGAATCTAATTAAGTCACATATTTTCAGGCAACTTAACTCTAAATACACTTACTTAAAAGCCATCATTTAATGTGATGTAGGAACACAATGGGAACAAGGAGAAGGGATTTGAGTGGAGCAAGCAAAGTTTAAAATATCCTTGATTGTA